CAAAACCAAGCAACCATTTACTATTACAAGAACATACTAAGGGGCACATGACTTACACCATACAGAAAAAAAAGATACAAAAACAAATATGTAATTGCAATCTGAGAATGATGTAGATTTCATGTTTTATGCTTCACAAAAAGCAGTTATATTTAATGCTGTAAAAAGACATTTTATAAATACAGGCCAGTAAGTAAGAATGGCTTATTGCACTGTTGAGATCAATACACTGATGCACTTATTTACTTTACTGTGTAGATTATTAATAAGCACAATTAACACTGACGTCATGAAGGATTCAGCGGGATTCAGAGCTTTGGTGTCTTACCTGCCATTTTCATTGCTTTACTTTGATCAAACTATCAAATAACTGACATGCTGGGTTTGCATCAGGACACGTTCAATAAACTAAACTTGAAAATTGTTTGATTTAATTGTTTAATTGATTAAACAGCAGAGTAAATTATTTCTGTACAATGTTTTTTCCGAACCAAATTGAAAAATAACACAATGTTAAACTTAGAGTTAATTCATCTGACGCTGCCCATGAAACACAACACCAGAATAGAGTAGAATTTCTGTGCTTTATTCATCCCTGTGGGGAAGTTGGGTAGTTTTCACATTTCCCATGTTATTCATACATGCATATACAGGTGAGTGCAAGCCTTAGTGCAGGGTCAGCAAGCATCAAGTTCCCCTGGAGATAATTCTGAAGGACTGACGATTCAAACACAGGTATAGATCCTAAATACCACCCCTTAAACAAAACTACAGTAGAAGACATTCTACTGTCTGTGCTTTTAAGCCAATAGCGCTGCTTTATAGATCCACAATGGTTCGATTAACAGCAGACAGTGGTTAACTCGCATGCCCCAGTAATGTGGTGACTGAAACCATTGTACACTGGCTACCCTTAATCCATAAGTAGCCCTTATGGGCAGGGGCAAGATGGCAGAATAACAAAACAATACTGAGATCCAGTGGTGACACCCACCCCCAAAGTCTACCAGTGCTGCATTAGTATTGTTTTTATAAAGTGTGAACAGAGGAATTAGCCCTTCCATTTTGTCCTTAATTTCACAGCAAAATCAAACTTTAATCAATTCCAAGTAATTCCATCCAAAGTAATAAGCTCAGACCTTATGAAACTTCCAACAGTAAAGGACCCAAAAGACCCTTTCTCACCACAGGAATTTTTTTTCAAGATCCAGGAACTTCTGTTACATTCCCACCACAGAAACTCAGTCTGACTGACTGTAGTTCCAGTGAGGTTCTATTTTAATTTATTTATTCAAGTTCCTACTTTGAGTTACACACTTTTCGTTTCACCAGGGACAGCTAAGGTGGAGTTTATAGCGATAAACTTTGCTGCTTGGTTAAGCAGAAGCACTGAACTGGAAGTCATGCAGTTGTACATGAACATGAAGTGTATGGTGGAAGTGTAGTTTTGTCATGTATGAAATGATGCGTGAGTTAAATCTACAAACTATTTGTCTCTCCCATGCTTATTTAGCATAAAGATCACAGGTCATATAATGCGCTGGGAAAGCTACATACTACAAGTAACTATAAAAGTTCCCGGTCAAGACAGCCCAGGAACTTGGAACTAGGTCTGTGAACTTCAGTGGGAAAGTGTCTACTGCCTGAAGTATTGCTCTGAAGAGTACTACTGTTGGAAGCTCAATAAAGGAGCAGGAAGAGATGCACGATATATCGGTTAATATACACTCACCTAAAGGATTATTAGGAATACCTGTTCAATTTCTCATTAATGCAATTATCAAATCCACCAAT